CACACACACACACACACACACACACACACACACACACACACACACACACACACACACACACACACACACACACACACACACACACACACACACACACACACACACACACACACACACACACACACACACATATATACATTTTTGGTATAGGTACTCTCACATCCTTTGGGTTATCTACTTTTTCAGGGCGAGTTGAAATAGGTAACCATCAAGGATCTTAAGTTGTAAAGAATTAATGTTGTATGGAATGTTACGCGTATGATTTCCGTTTGTATCTTTTGGTAGTGGTATCGAAATCTTCCGTGCTGAGTACTCGAAGCACATACCTTTGCTGTATCGGGTAGGTGTCGTCCATAGTGAATTCCATAGTGAAGCAACGCGCTCGGTGGAGCAGGCCGGTCTAATAAATATTGTAGTGACGCAGGCTGATATTGAAACTCGATGTGCCTGACACTTTTTCTCGCGGCACGAAGGTATGTATGTGCTGAGCAGCTATCATGACACAGATATATGTATGATTGAATCTGAACACCACCAAGGCTCCACAGTCCAAAATTCCCAATGACAAAGTATGCTAATAATAAAATTTTGAGGAAATTTTTATTTGATTTCACCATACCATAGCCTCCTAAAATTGAACAATTTCATATTAAAAGGGCAGGGTTCTGATAAATTTTTTTTTTCGGGTTTAGAATAGATGACACCGATAAGGATTTCCACAAAATTACAGCCCATCCATAGATTTCTATTGGTTGATAAGTAGTGATATACCAACAAATACCGCGCGCTTTTTGTCCCCCAGAGCAGACTTTAAAATAAATAAATTTGTGGTAGACTTTTGAGTGCAGACTTGTTTGTAGTCATTCAGCACTGCAGCAGAGTGCACACGATTGCGAGCCTGCGAAGGGGCATAAATCATAATTTACACAAGGAGTTATTCACCCACGTGCATGAAAGTTGTGTACATGAAGTCAAAAACAACATGTGATGGTGTATCTGTGGTTTGTGCGATAACACAGATTATTTCTTGTAATATATAGCCCGACAATACTTGGGGAAAGAATCCCCCCAAAAGACGTTTATTGTATGTACATATTGTATGTACAATGTGAACTCCAACGATAGTAGGAATGACAACGGGATTATCTTGCCAAGAGGATGGAAGTGACTACGATCAATTTCTAAAGCCCGAGTACACCTCACCCAGTTTGTCGTATCCAACAAAGCGATCAAGCCGTGGTGCAAGCAGATGCCTACATTTTATTTACATTTGGCCTAGAGCTTGACTTTGGCTAGGCATCGCCGGTTGTGCTGAACTCGCGCACGCGTGTTTGAGAATATTTTCTCACAGTGCGAGCAAGAAAGTGTCAATGCGCTCGTAGGACTTAGATTGCCGAGATGATCGGATGCATCCCACTCACCAGGATACTGCAGCATATCAATAGAAAGATTAAATAAGCAATTCACCGCGAAATAACAATACAAGCTTAGGCAGAATTAGTGTCCCAAAGAACCACACACACATACACAATCACACACACACACACACACATATACATACATACATACATACA